AAATACAATTTACGTAATCTTACGGCAGTCTCGTAAGTTTTCGTAATATTACAGAATGTAAGTTTACGCAATATTACATCCTATTAAATTTACTGATGTAAGTGAAAAAAATTTATTTTTTAATTTTTTTTCCTATTCATTGAATGGTAAAATTAAAAAAAAATAAACTGGTATAACATATGTTCTGATTTCCAATATCCATCTGTTTATATAAATTTAAGAATAAAAGCTTCTTTATTCCCAATATATAGATTTGCTTGCAATTATTCATCAGATAACTATAATAATCTATGATATAAACAAAGAAAAGCTGAAAATTTAATTGAGCATCCAAGATGTTTTGAGCATAAAATATCCATATTCTCTCTTATCCAAATTTTCTGCTGCCCATCATTTGCATAGAAGTAGCACTCGTCATGTGTTACTTGCACTAATTTTTTCTCTCTTGGTTTAAGCTGAGGTTCCAAAATAATATCTAACATATCACCATCAAAATCTTTCATAGATTTCCTATATTCAACATTCTCTTTAACCATTTATTTCTATATACCACCACATCTAACCTCTCATACCCATTATAATAAACTTCTTTTTTTATTATATTTGAATCCTCACTTATACATATAATTTTGACAGGTTTTTTTGCAAATTGTGTCCTTTTTGATGTATCCTGTCAACTTTATTAACACTGTTTCATCAATATAAATTTTTAATTTCTTAGGGAACATGATTCCAGTACTTATTGTCATAACCATATAAGGCATTCTTTCTTAAAATCCTCATCATCTACTAAGCTTTCTAATTTTGTATATTTTCTTTGACGATAGATAAGAAGCTCTCCTGTTTGTAAAAAGTGAGTTTCCCATTTCGGATATATCATACTATATAGTTACCTTTATTTCATAAAATTTGTGTAATATTATTGCTGGCATTCATCTTACCTTCTTTATCTAATAACAACTGAATGAAATTGCATATACTTAGGCATCGTAGATAATTATAAGTAAAGAATTTTCTTTATCCTTTATGGATTTTGATATAATATATTGCTGATTTATTTCATTTAATCTTATATATAGATTATTAATGGAAAATAATGGACTTTTTATAATTTCTGAAAATGGAGATGAAGATAATTGTGATGAAGATTGTAATGGAAATGATTGTGATGGAGATTATAATGGAGATGATTGTGATTGAGATGATTGTAATGAATACAATATTTCTGAATTTTTAAAAAATGTATCAAGAGACTTCATTCTTTTTGTCTAATTTTCTAATTTTTTTTTTCCTTTTCTCCATACTGTAGTTCTGAAATTTTCTGTATATGCTGCTCTAATATTATAATCAGCATCTTCATATTAGTGAAGAGCTTTGGTAATAAGCCTCTTTCCTACTTTATTAAATTCTTTTAATTCTTCTCCTATCCAGCCAATAATTTCATCATCTGACCATTCTTCACTTTCTATTCATTCTTCAATAATATCATTTTTCACTCATTTTTCATCTTTAATTCTTTTGTGTCAGTTTCTTTTGAGATAACTTGATCTTGAAATACATAATGACCTTTTTTCCTAAGTATCTTACTAACTTATTGTTATCATTTTATTTTACGTGACATTAGTAAAGTCAGATCAAAATTTTCTTATTCATATGTGATGATTTTCTCATGAATCAGAGGTTTTCTTATTATTAAAGAAATTTCTCATGATCAAATGAATGTGATAATTCAGACCAGCACTAAAATATTATAATTTCAACCTGAATTATAAAATTCTAACCAAAAAGTTAGCATTCATATAATTCAATTTGTTTCAAATTTAGGCTGATTATATAAAAATCAATCAGTTTTATATACCTATAACTTTTTATACAAATCTTTTTTCAAAAATCTGACCGGTAATTTGATAATACTTGTTTTGAAGAATAAATCTACCAGTTTATTTTCTTTAAAAATTATTTTTTAAATTTTATGATTTTTTAGTATTACAATCTTATTGTTAAGTATAGTTTACTTGCATCATATTATAATTATTATCTCTGTTATTATTATTATTATTATTATATTAGTACTTGAAGTTACAAATTTAGTTAGATTATAACTTAGCAACTAGTTAACCTTAGCAAATTAATTTGTATAAATAGAATAGCTTTTTGCTCAAGTTGTAAATTAACTCTTTTATAAGTTCAAAAATACTTGTGAGTTTCAAGTAATAAATAAAGGAATCAATTTTGAAAAATAATTACTTTTTCTTTTACGTGTCTATTATCTAGAATTTGATCATAAACTAATACACTAACTTGCTTTTGAGTTCATCACTTAGAATAAATAAATTCTTTACATTTCTTCTAAGTTCCTAAATTTTTAAGTTCGTAAAGTCAAGCGAAGCAATTATAAGACATTTTGGATACCTGTAGGACATGAGATTCCCTAAGAATATAAAGTCTGATGATAAAAAACTTACTTACTGCAGTAAAGTAACTTAGCAAAATATGTGTGATAAAGTGAGTTATTTCTAGTGTCAACATATACAAACCTTATAAAAAAAATCATTTTCTTATTTTAATTTTTTATAGGAAATCTAAATAAAGAAAAGAGTATTTATTAGAATTGTAAAATTAGGTATCATATATTAGTTCAATTAAAAAGTCAGCTTAATAAAAAATATAACTATTAAAAATTTAGTATTATATTTATATCTATTAATATGTAAATTAACAATCCATTATATATATACAAGCATTTTTTTTTATAATATAAGCTAAAAAATATTTAATTTAATCAAATAATTCCAAATTTTAATATAATTTAATATTTAATTTATAAAAGAATTTACTAAAAAAAAATAACTTATTAATCCAACTTTGCAAAAGATCTATCTTAAAAAACTTAAAAAAAAAAAAATAAATAATAATTAGTAAAAATCAAGAAATCACCTACTAAAGGAACTCCTAAAAAATCCAAAAACTTAACTAATCTATTCAAAAAAATAAAGTATTTTCTAAAAGAAGCAAAAAGAAATTTAATAAAATAAAGAAACTTATCATTTGAAATCCCAAAGAACTTATTGAAAGAAAGAAAACTTACTTATCTAAAAAAACAAAAGATTTATTTCTAAAAAAAAAAAGTAAAAAAAAATTAATAAAGAGAAGAAACCTACTTTCTGAAGAAATCTTAAAAGAAGCTTATTTTATCTAAAAAGAAAGTTCTTATAAAATTTTTAAAAACATAAAATGAAATTTTTTTATAATTTTTAATATAAATAACTAGATGATTTATAATATTTGAAATGATTTAGACATTTAAAATAATTTTTAATATTAAAAATTAATTTTGAATATTTGAAATAATTTCAATATTCGTTTGAATATTTTTAAAATATTTTCAAATATTTGAAATTCAATATGAATTTTAAATGAAAACCCTAATTCAACGGTTACAATCATATGCATAAACTTTTAAAGACTCTCTGTATTAATTTTATAATAAATAATATTAAAATTTTCACAATTAATAAATTATAATATATAAATACATTATACAGTCAAACCTTGATATAGCGAACTCTTGATATAGCAAATTTTTAAATCAAATATATTAAAATTACCTTACTATAGTGAAGTAGCCAATTAAATTCTTTAAAAAATTTGTTATAAGCTTATAACGAAGTTGATATCCAGATCGTAGAATTCGTTATATCAAGAGTTCACTGTATCTATTATTAAAATTATTTTTAATTTTATTTTAATAATTACAAACTATATTTTTGAAAAAAAATATTTTATATAATAGTGTTACTAAATAAATATTTATAAAATATAAATAAAACAATAATTTTTTACCTATTTATAAAAATAATTTAATACTTAATTTAAATTACTTATTTAAACTTAAGGTTTCTATTAAATTAAATAAATATATTAATATTAATATTTATATAATTTATTAATTTATTAATTTATTATAATATAATAATTACCAATACTTTGACTACTTTGACTAATTTCTAAATCCAAAATATTATTTAATTTTTCAGTAAAATTAAGTAATTGACTAGTATAATATGCTTGCGGATGTGATTTAATATTAATTTTATTATTAATAATATTATTATATTGCATTTTTTTTAATACCTTATCTGATTTATAAAAATCTAAAATATCATCTTTTAATTCTTTTTTAAAATTACTAGTAATAATATTATTTATCCAATTACTAATAATTTTTTGAATTTCTAATGCAGTTAGTCTTTTTAATGGATCTATATCCCAACATCTTTTCATTAAATTTATATAGCATTGTGGAATATTTTCAATATCTTTAGGTCGTTTACCTTTGCAAATGTCTAAGCTAAGTTGAAAATCATAAGCTTCATTATCAAATGGAAGAACTCCAGATATTAATTCCCACATAATTATAGAAAAACTATATATATCACTAGCTAAAGTATAAGATTGACCTCTTAAAACTTCAGGTGCTACAAATGATAAAACACCATAAATATCATTATTTTTAGAATTTTGAAAATATTCTACAGGTTTACATAATCCTAAATCACTAATAGATAAAATCTTATTTCTCAAATTTAAAATATTGTCATGATGAAAATCACAATGAATAAGACTTTTTTGATGTATTTCATTAAGTCCACAAATAATATTATATAATTGTAATAATTTAATAATCCATCTATCTTTAACTATATTTAATAAATTTTTTCTTAAACTACTATTTTTTGCAGATTTTGAGTAAATCCATATAATTGAATAAGATTTTCATTTGAATAATTTTTTAATTGACTATAACAATTATAATGATGTTTCCACTAAAATAATAAAAATTTAAAATTTATTTAAAATTTATTTTAAAATTAAATATAATTAATAATTACATACCTCATCTAAAAATTCTTTATTTAAATTTGAAGATTTATCAAGACTTTTAAGAGATACTTCTATTTTATTACTTCTAATCCAATTATTATCATTATATGAATAAGATATAATAAATCCATCTAACCAAGTAGCTTTATATATTGTACTAAATCCTCCTTTATCAAGAAACTCTATATTTATAAATTTATCATAAGAAATCCATTCTAATATTTGTTTTTTATTTTTAGCATTCAGTTGAATATTTTTAATAAATTTATCAATAAATTTATTTTTGCTAGTCCAATTAGAAAAATGTTGTTGAAATAATTTAGAATTACATTTTTTGCACCATTTATATCTAGTATTATATACTTTACAATTTAAACATATTTCTATTTTTCTAAATAAATATTTTATATTAATATTATATTGAATTATAATTTTAAAAATAAAATATAATACTTACTAAATTTAATAGATGAATTATATTTAATAATTTTATAAATTTAATAAATATTAAAATTATATTATAAGTAAATTAAATATTAATAATCAATAAAAAACTTACTCCCTTTAATATTATTTTTTTTTTTAATAAAAAATATAGTTGAGTTTAAATTACAATAAAAAGTAGAATTAAATACTAATAATCAATAAAAATAACTTACAATCTATAATAATTTTTTAATTAAAAAATATAGTTTAAATTACAGTAAAAAGTAGAATTAAATACTATAATCAATAAAAATAACTTACTATCTAAAATATTTTTTTAAATAAAAAATATAATTGAGTTTAAATTACAGTAAAAGTAGAATTAAATACTAATAATCAATAAAAATAACTTACTCCCTTTAATAGTATTTTGATTTTTAAAATAAAAAATATAGTTGAGTTTAAATTACAGTAAAGTAGAATTAAATACTGATAATCAATAAAAATAACTTACCAACTATTGTATTATTAATTATTAATTGTTTTTTTTAAATAAAAAAAATAATTGAGTTTAAATTACAGTAAAAAGTAGAATTAAATACTGATAATCAATAAAAATGACTTACTATCTATTGTATTATTAATTATTAATTGTTTTTTTAAATAAAAAATATAGTTGAGTTTAAATTACAGTAAAAAGTAGAATTAAATA